TGGGTGATAGACATTGGGGAGGGTATGTGCTATGGTGAGCGCTGTGAATTGTGCAAGACTGTTGAATCACAGATCTGTACCTCTGGAACAAATAATACGTTATATGTTAAAGGAAGAAAGAAGAAGAAGATAGCAGGAGGGGAAGAATGAAGGGGGAGAAATCGGAGGGGGAGACCAACCATGAGAGACTATGGACTCTGAGAAACAAACTGAGGGTTCTAGAGGTGAGGGGGGTGGGAGGATGGGTTAGCCTGGTGATGGGTATTAAAGAGGGTACGTTCTGCATGGGGCACTGGGTGTTATATGCAAATAATGAATCATGGAACACTACATCAAAAAGTAATGATGTAATATATGGTGATTAACATAATAATAAATTTTAAAAAGTCTCTGAAGAGCAGCTGACCTTGGTGCTTTCAGAAAACAAATATTGCACTAGTCATCACATCTTGTTAGATATAGTAAAACAGTATCTAATAGCAGGGACAGGCAAGCAGTGAAAACTTGTTTTCTTACCATACAATTTAAGCTAAATCTAACATTTACTCCTGTGCAATGAAGAATATGGTAGGTCTTTATTCCCAATTCTTGGGAGCTAACCTCTAAACCCTTGAAATTTCCCAAGATAAGGGTATCTTTGTTACTCACAAAGAACCCCTGGGGCCCCACCTAAGAGTATATGCCAATGACATGACTCACGGAGGGCCCCTAGTTTGTGCTAATGGGATGATTCAGGATGGGGACTGGCCATGCCAGGAAGACCAACCATTTGACTAGAGCGCTGGGGCTTTGAGCCATAGGATACTGGGAAAGGAAGGGGTGGGAGATTGAGCCACATGGGCAATGATTCAGTGAGTCATGCCTACATAATGAAGCCTCAATAAAAAGCTCTAGGCAATGAAGCTCAGTGGTCTGGGTGAGCTTCCCTGGTTGGCAATACTCTTTAAATACTGTCACTTCGATGCCATGAGAGCAACTCTGAGTCCTCCCACTGGCATGCTCTCTCCAACACCTCACCTGATAAGATCCAAGGGCTGCTTTTTGTATATACTTCGCGGATGAGCCCACTCCCTGTACAGAAGATACCGTTCACTTGGGCAGCTGAGATCCTCTGACTTATGGCTGAAGTTACACTGCGAAGCAGAAGCAAACAAGTGAGCATATAATCGCTAGGTGTTCACAAATCTGTTTATTCAATATGGTACTCATACTTCACAGGAATAAGGGGCCGTCATTTGCTGGAACGGATGGATGGATCATCTAATTTTTAGTGATTCTCAACCAATGGTATTGGTATTATTAATCGCTTGCGGCCACTTGAAAATGTGGGTGGGGAGGAATGCTTGGTTGTTATAATCCTAGAGAACACCTCAGGTACCTGGTGGGAGCCCCAGAGATGCTTTACATCCTACAAGTGTGCCAATTCCTAAACAGTTAAAAATTGGGCTGTTCAAGTGCCAAAATTGCCACAGTGCAAGAACACCTGATAGTCCAGCGCCCTCCTGGGACACCTGGGGGAACCAGGGCCTTAACGGGTTAGTATCAAGGTCACTTCTAAAACCCAGGCATCTTTGTCCCCCAATTAAGCAGTTACTCTGTGACAACACATAGAATATAAACAACAACGAAGTTTGACGTATTATACACTTCGCTTACTCAAAACACAAAGCTTCCTGCCTCTACTTCAATTCAGTCACTCTTCCCATCTGACTCGTTTTCCTTCCTCCTATACTAGAACCAGATTATCACCAGGTAAGCCTTAACATGGGTCCTGACCTCCATTCACTTCCCTTCCAAATGCCATAGGAGATCAATCCTTAGCCTGGATGTGGGACACTGCAAGTAAAAGAGGCTTTAGTGGGAAAGAACTGGGCATGGTCAGATGCCAACTGAATACTATTGAACTTTGGCCTCCCAGATTAATATTCATGACAGCTATTTGCAAGTGTCCCCAAAGTTTGTGTCATGCCATAATCACTGATTTTGCTGGGCACAAATATAAAACACCTGGACTGTCAGGCCGGGCTGCCATATTGGGTCTCTTCACCGGGAAGTTCAGAACCTGCCTCTCCACCCAGCTCTCTGCTATTTACACATGTGCATCAAGTTGCTCTTTTGTGTCCTAGTTTATTAACATATACAGTACGTTTCAATAATGTCGTCACCCATAAGTACGTGTAATACCCAGTAGCAATGATCAAACTCAGTCTTGGCTTTCTTGGTCTTAGAGATTCACATAAATTGAGAGTGAATTGTAACAAAGCTACAGCACACTCTAATATGGTATCTAATTTATTTCAATGACAGAACTTATTTAAAGAGCTTAGATATAATATCCCTGCATTTATGGCATCATTAAGGGTCTGAAGCAGTCTACATTTTAAAATTTTCATTTCATGAGAGATGTTATCGGCTAGAGAAGTGCTCTTGAATTTGAGGAGCTACTGTCATCTCAGAACGGAGTCCTCAAAAAATGTCAACACTCTGCAGTATTGCCATCGTGACAAGAACCCTGACAGATGCCTTTTTAAAAGCCTTGTGATATTCCAGGACACACTAAGAAAATGATATTTCAGGGGGAAAAAGCCTGTGTTCCAGAAAATGGTAAGTAAGAAGATCCAACACGTATTTTGCTTAAAAAGAACCAATAATTTTCTGGTTGATAATAACATCTGCCAGTAATTACGAGGATAGCTAACACTTACATTCTACTTCCTATATGCCAGGGATGGTTTTAACATTTGACAGGGATTAATTTAATTAATCCTCGTAACTCTACGGTATAACTCTATGAGGTAAGTATGATTATTATCCCAATTTTATTAATGAGGAAATTGAGCAACAGAGAGGCTAAATGACTTTTACAAGGTCATCCAGCTAGGAAGTGGAAAGCGAGCCCCAGGGCCCATGCTCTTAACTGCTAATCTGCACTGCTTTACACATGCACTACATGGCGGCTACTGTTTCAATCATCCATTCATTGACTCATTCAAACTCATGGCCTTCTCTATGCCCGAGAGTCAACAGTGAACAAAACAACCTGGTTCCTGCCCTAAATGAGCTTGTAATCCTTGCAATAGACCATCTTCATTTTATGAAAGAAGAAACTCAAGGTTAAGAAGATTAGCCCTTCTCTATTCACACTAGAGTATACCTTGGGTATTTTATTTCATTTTTGCCATTTGACTTACATCATGGAGAGGGAAAGCTGCTTTGTAGATCCCAGAGCTGACAAGTTTGTTAATTCCAAACTTTTTAACATTGTCTCTTACTTGATACATGATCCGAGAGAGGATGAAGTAAACCTAAAAAAAAAAATTCCAAAATAAAATGAGAGCACTAGACTGAGTAACTAACCAACCACTGTTTACTACTGTTTTTTTTTTTTTAAAGATTTTATTTGAGAAAGAGAGAGAATGAGAGAGAAATAGAGCATGAGATGGGGGAGGGTCAGAGGAAGCAGCAGACTCCCTGCCGAACAGGGAGCCCGATGTGGGACTCGATCCCGGGACTCCAGGATCATGACCTGAGCCGAAAGCAGTCACTTAACCAACTGAGCCACCCAGGCGCCCCACTGTTTACTATTGCAACAGACACCTGTTTTCTTTTTGGGGAGGGGGTGGGGGTGCAGCTTTTAAAAATGAAACTAAACCAACCAAACCAGACCACTAATTATTCAAACAGCAGGTTCCAAATTACTCTAAGACAGCAACTAAATTTGGTTTAGACTTACAATGCGGCTTCTGGTGGCTGGATTGAAGAAAGTATCTCTATCCTGAATATAAAAATCATTCATCCGGTTCTTCTCAAATGGGGCAGTGAAAAACTCTTGCTCTGGCTTGATGATACTTTCATCCACTTGGAGGACTTTGGTAAACCAGCTGAAATTATCAAAGGCTGAGGATCGGGTTTTCAGATCATTGGGTTTCAGAGGCAATTTGATGTGCATTATCTCAGCATATGTACATAACACCTCCCATGGGGCATGTACTTTTACAAATACAAGCTTATCATCCAAAATCTACAAAGGAAGAATAAAAACACAAACCAGGACACTAAACCAATTGTTTTCATAATTTTAAAACACATATAGATTGTTCTCATGTTGCTGGTAGTTAAAACACAGGACACTGGTAAAAATGAAGATAAAATAAAAACAGACTTGTACTCCATCAGACATTTTTGCCTTAAAGATAATTTCTTGGTTCAAATTACTGAGCAAGTAATTAAACTTTTCATATTCCTTTCATAAAATTACTATTATTTTAAATGAAGAAAAGCAAACTTGTTAATTTGCCCATCACTCCATCCAAATTGGTGACTAAAAATAAAAACACTAAAATATTCACCGCAGTGTTATTTTAATGATAATTTTAACATTTCTAACCCAGAACAGGACTGTTTATTGTATTATATATCTGTTAAATGTCATGTTATGTGTCCATTAGAAAAAGATGTCAATATAGAAATGCATCTACTACATATTAACGGAAAGAAAAGCAAATTATAAAACTGTGAAATAATAATCCCCCTTTTTGAAAGGGAAAAATGCATATATTTTGAGGAATAAAAAAGTTTAGAAGGACCACAAGGTTATTTACGCATAATGAGAACATAGAGGATTTTTATTTTTGTTATTCTTATATTCTCTAATTTTTCATAAGCTATTGTCTATAAAATAAGAAATCTTTTTAAAAAGCTCTTAAAAGAAGAAAACAATCATTTATACACGCATTCAGTATTACATTCTTTGGCTATTAAAAAAGGTAGGCTGACTTTGATCAGAAACAAACATACATTCTATAATGCAGATTTTGATGGACTCCCCTCCCAGCCTAAGGCATCACTAGAGTTGCACGTTTCAAACGCCACTCCAGCATTCCAAATGACATGCCACTTCCCAAGAGCACCAGTCAGCCCAGGACTGGAAAGGATCCAACACTTACCGATCTTGTTGCTTCTAAATGCAGGCCATCACAGATGAGGTTAGATTCATATGCTCGTCTTTTTCTCTGTCAAAAGAAATTGGAAAATATGTTAGATCTTGTAGTTTTGCCAAGGACAGAAAAAGTCCTTTTTAAGAAAAACCAAACCAAACCAAACCAGTTTGAATCTGATGAAAAGATAGATCTGCTCAAAATGGCACATAAGCAATGAAGGTGCTCCGGCTGTTGGTGATTTGTTCACTTAGCACTCTCAAAGGCCTTGGCTGTCCCCATGGGTTTCTGGCCATTCAGGATGCATAAGTCTCTAGCTTTGGCACAATTCCAAAACCTTTTTTTTTTTTTTAACTCATAAGTGGTTTGGCACACAAATGGAATTTTTTGAGCCCCATTCACTGATGTCATTTGCCAGAGTTAAAGCCCAGATCTGGCATTCTAGACATATCAGACATACAGATGGTTCAATTTTGGATATGTATATTTCATCTCTACATGCCTTGAACAAATTCAATAAACAACATAAACAATTTTGTTGCAAAATTCAAAAGAATGTTTCTCTCTGCAAGATTAAAATGTCCATGAAGGTATAAACATCTAAAAATCTACAAAAATACGGAACTAATTAATTGATAATAGATATGTGTCATATGGCCATCTGAAAAGATTCGGAATGTACTGTATTTATTGATATTAAATTCTATCTGGCTAGGCTTTTGTCAAGCTGTGTCCTAAGTTGTAAGGAAAGCATGTAAAAGTAGAGATTTACTTAACCTTTTAAAAGAACACTTTTGGTGTTCTTGATGAAACAGCTATACTGCTTCATGAAAGCAGAAAAATGGGTAAAGACAGGGGTTAAGCATACAAACTCTAAAACCAGACTGCCTGTGTTCAAATTCTGGTGCCACCACTTATCAGCTCTTTGACCCTTGGCAGGAAACAAACTCTCTGTGCCTCATTTTCCTCCTCTATAGAATGGAGAAAGCCTCACTAATTTCCTTTTGAGGTTCTCATGAAGATTGTATGATTTAAACCACATAAAGCACATGAACTAGAACTTCCATTTGTAGTCATCACAGATTAACTGGACCAATTCTCCCACCAAAGACAACTGAAAAAGCTGGACCAAAAAAACCCAAAAACTTGTTTTAACTTGAGCAGTTAACAAGATAAAGGAATTAGTGGATCATGGCTTAGATAATCCAGGGGATCCGGCAGTCAAGACCACTTTGCCCAGGGAGCGCCATTCACGATTTGCCAATTGCCAAGGGGCAGAGGAGAGGCTGAGCTGCTATCAAAGTGCCTAGAACATGGAAAGCAGCTAATAAATAGAAAGCAGATGGTGGTTGTATGAAAAAGGCCCCAAAGCCAAAAGGTGAAAAAATACACCTAGTATTTGGCTAAATTTAAGTCCAAGTGCTATCCCTAATATATTTTGTGGAATTATCAGAAACAGAATATTGCTTTAATTTTTATTTATTTAATAAATGATGCGATACAGTACTTACAACATGCCAGAGCTTTACAAATGTAATACCTTTAATTGCTTGTTACAATTTGAGCACCCAATAATCACTTAGAGAAAAATCAGCAAGTGCTACAACTACCCTAAACATGAACAAGCAACCAGACCTGCCATATCCCCAGCCTCAGCTTGGGAAGCTGCTTCAGACTCATCCTGCTTCTATATAGGTAGTATTTCTTCTCTAGATCCTAACCTGCATTTTGATTCTTGCATGGTAGTCCAGTTCTCATGCCTGATTGCTTCTTTCTTCACTACTGCTTAAAATAAGCATTTTTGAGAGGCACCTGGGTGACTCAGTAGGTTAAACGTCTGGCTCAGGTCATGATCTCCGGGCTCCGTACGCATGGAGCCTGCTTAAGATTCTCTCTCTCTCTCTCTCTTCCCTCTGCCTTCCCCCCTCCCCATAAATAAATAAATAAATAATAAAAAACAAAAGTATTTATGATCCTGCAAATAATGTTCAACATGGTGCTTGGCACAGAGTAGATGCCCAATACATGTTTGTTGAAAGACTATACTCAACAAATGCTTATTAATTTCTTCTACAAACATTCCCAAGAACATCCTTCAAAGTACTGAAAATTCAAAGAACTTAAAATAGTTTGCTATGGGGGGAACTACAGAGAAACTCAGCGTCCAGTGACCTAAGACCTTCTTCTGATACAGAAGGACTGAAACTTTTATGCATATGTTTCATGACAGCTTAACAGGCATTTGTTGTTCTTTATGGCCACCCAACATTTCAACTCTCCCCAGAGCCCATGCCCACTATAGCAGAGAAAAACATATTCACTCTCCTTCCTGGTTTCCTGTGAAGTTCAGGTATTTGCACATGAGCTGGGCCTTGTCAATCAGACCAACCACTCCAGACTCTCACTCAGAAGCTAGTGACACAAAGAAGCTGGGCCAAGCAGAAGTCATTCAAGGGTGGTTGGGAAAGCGAATGCCAGTTCCCGAGGTAGCAGAAGTAGAGGTTATGGCAGATTTGGGGCACCATTGCTGGTCAGTGGTACCAGCAGTGGCTCTGGGCAGCAACCTTATTCTTCCAACCCTTCAGAAGAACCTATGAGCTCCCTAACACTCTTCTGATAAATTCCTTGTCGGGGCTTAAGTTAGAGCTCATTTCTGTTACTTGCCAGTAAGAATCCTGACTGGTTCAGTAACCACGAACTAGGGAAAAGTTGTTAGCCTCAAACCTACATCCCTGTACAGTGGAGGGAGTGGTGCTCTGAGTACACCAGACACTCTGCCTTCCTCTCCTTCAGGGAAGATGACTCATCCTGAGTCTGTACAAGGGGCAACCCAGACTGTCTTATTAGCAGGATCCATGACTGTGTCTTCTGTATCCTTTCAAAGTCAGTCAGGAATAACTTCAGTTAGAGTGTGAAGGCTCACTCTTGTAGACAAATGTCTTTCTAGTTAGAAGAGCAGGAGAATCAGTCAAAAGAGGAACTTCTCCAGTGGCTAAAAGGCTATTTTAATAATTAAGTGCTGGCAGAAAGAAATCACATAACTGTGTTAACTGGCCTTATTACAAATTCATGGTTACTACTAGAGTTAGGTCCACTATGATACACAGCCGTCTCCTTTCTGGCCCCTACTCATCCACCAGGGAGCTGTTCCAAACTTTCAAGGAGCTCCTCACACCTCACACCCAACTCCAGACCAGCACACTCTGCAAGTGGCCTTGCTTCCTTCCTTGCAGGGAAAATGGCAGCCACTCATGTGAACTCCTGCAGGTGTTTTTCTATCTATCCACAGCTAGATACCATCTCTCTTCCTGGGGTTAGAAGACTGCATCCTTTTCATATCTCTTCTTGAGTTTGCTTCAGCAATACCTTCTCTTTATTCTTTCCTCTTCATTGCTCTTACTCCCAGCCAACAAACACTTAAAATGTTTCCCATCCTTAACAATATTAAATCCTTCCATGGCCCTACCTACTCTTCAATTACCATCCTTGCCTCTAGAGATGTCTTTTAATCTTGATATCCTCAGCACTTAGACCTATAACAGAATAAACATGCAATAAATGTCTGATGAATGAATGAATGAATGAATGAATGGAGTGGATAGTGGATCAATGGTTGCCTGTTATGTAGGAATGGGCTGAGGAATACAAATTACTGAGTGTAGCAACTAAGCTCCCCTTTCCTGAGCCCCCCAAAATGTTCCATGAACTTTTACTTACAAGTATTACAGGATATGACAGAGAAGAAGAGATATGGTTTAATTCTGGAATGTACTAGCACCAGATAGCTCGGGGCATCTAGTGTATGAAGTGATTTCCAGATACCCTGGAGTCTGAATTACTAGATGACAAAGGGGGAGGGTTTAGAGAGTTGGAAATGAACCAACCCCATAGGAGGGCAATTCTGTTATCTAACATACAAAACACAAACTACTCCTGTCTTGGTTGTATCGGCTGCATCACCATGACTGCAACATCCTGAACAGTAGAAGTAAGACATGCCTCCTCCTCATAGAATTCCTAAATTGAGGCTACAACTCTTTACTGCCTTCATGGGACTCTCTCCTTTCAAATTTTAGTCTACCAAATAGCCCTTTAGCTCTTCCAGTTTTGGTCTCCTTTTGGAAAATAATGGCATAATAGTTAGGTTCAGAGTCAAAATTCAAATCCAGATTCTGTGACACTGGGCAAAAGAACTTAAATCGTACAAACATCAGTGGCTTTATTTCAAAAATAGGACAAGAAATAGCTTCATCTTGAGGTTTTCTTAGCGATTAAATGTGATCATGGGTATAAAAGTCCACAGTATCATGTTTTACACATAATAAACCATACAGACATGTTAGCCATTACCATATCCTTTTTCTGCATTCAAACATGCTCAACTACCCTTACTCCTTAAAAACAAACAAACAAAAAACAAAACAAAATAACAACAACACAAAAACACATACACAAAACCCTCACTCCCCTACAGGCCTTAGAGGCTCACCTCTTCTTTTTTAATGCCAAATATCTGAACAAGAATAGGCAACCCCAATCCACTTGGCCTCCGTACCTTCCACCCAATGATCCCCTAATCCTTCAGTGGGACACCAATGACACTGTTTTACTAGAACTCCAAGAAATGGATCTTAATGCTGAGTTACTCAGCTCTCCCACTTCTTCACTCTTCTATACCACTTGGTCATCCTGGTCCTTCTTTGATATCTGATATATGTGTACATCTGTGTGAGACAGAGTGAGTGTGTGTGTGTGTGTCCTCTTCACTCTCTGAAAGTTGTGAACACAGCTTCATATCTCCTCACTTTTCCCTCATTTCTGTGTATAATAAGGGAGGTCTTTGACAAAAGTGTATAGCACATCTGAGTATCAAAGATGCAGAAAACCTTAGAAATACTTTTCTTCCATCTCATTTTAATGGCTTGGTAATAGTCTCTCAGAGAGGTGTACTATAATTTATTTAACAAATCTCAAATTGTTGGATATTTAGGTTGCTCCTAATTTTCACTATCATAAAAATCCTTGTAGAACAGTCTTTGTGCATCCATTATTATTTCCTCAGGATAAAGTCCCAG